TTGAGCTTTTGGAAAGCCGTTTCACACTCTGGGGACCACACAACCTGTCGGGGAAGATTCTTCCAGGTCAGATCTGTTAGGGGTTTAACAATGGTGCTGTAGTTGGGGATGAATTTACGGTAGTACCCCGCAGTGCCTAGGAAGGCAAGGACCTGAGTCTTGGTTCGGGCAGTGGACCAATTTGCTACCGCTTCTGCCTTTGCCGGTGCCGGTCCTTGCTTCCCACATCCTACCCAATGTCCTAGATATTGGACCTCGGACACCCCAACATGGCATTTATTGGTTGGATGGTCAGCCCTGCTTGCCTGATGTGATCAAGCACTTCCCTGAGGTGTTGGAGGTAATCCTCCCAACGATCACTGTAGATAGCTATATCGTCTAGATAGGCGCAGGAGAATTCCTGCAGCCCATCCAGCAGCTTAGCTACCATTCTCTGATAGGTAGCCGGGCATTCTTCATCACAAACGGCATGATCCTGGACTGGTACAAGGCAAACGGGGTGATGAATGCTGACTTTGGTTCTGCATCCAGCGGAATCTGCCAGTACCCCTTGCAGAGATCGATGGTGGTAAGGAAATTACCTCTGGCCATTCGGTCCAGCAGCGCATCTATCTGGGGCATGGGGTATGCGTCGATCCCGGTCCGGTCATTGAGCCTCCGGTAGTCCACACAGAACCGTATGGTTCCGTCCTTCTTGGGTACCAGGACTACTGGGAAGGCCTAGGGACTGTCAGAGGGTTCTATCACACCTAAATCCAACATTTCCATAATCTCTTTCCTCATCCTTTCTCTGACAGACTCGGGCACTCGGTAGGCTGCCTGCTTCAAGGGGGCTTGACCTTGCGTGTCTACCCGGTGGGCAGTTGTGGTGGTGTAACCAGGCAGAGACGAGAGAACAGCCCTCGGTGCAACTGGAGCAGTTTACGGGTCTGTTCTTGGGCCTCAGGAGGCAGCTGTGTGCTGATATCTACATCCACTACACTCAGCTGGGACTGTCCGTCCCCTGGCAGCCCCAGCAGAAGACGTTTTTCTGAGTCATCAGTAGTCGGAGCGCAAATAGCAGCAACACTGTCCTCCTGTCATTCGATGAACGGTTTCAGCATATTCACATGGAAGGTTCGCCGGATCCTTCCATCCGAACAGCGAGCTACAATGTATGTGGTATCAGAGTTGCTCCACCACTTGGTACGGGCCCAGCCAGGCAGCCTGTAATTTGTCATGCCTGACTGGTTTCAAGGCCAACACTTTCTGTCCTAAGTAAAATGTTCGGTCTCAGGCAGACCGGTCGTACCACCGTTTCTTTCGGCTCTGGGTGGCCTCAAAGTTGTCCCTTACTAGGGTCATCAACCGTTGTAACCTCTTCCTGAGCTCCAGCACATAGGCCACCACTGAGGTCCCCTCCTCAGCCACTGCTCCCTACCAGTGTTTGCGTAGGAGATCCAGGGGTCCCCGAACCCTCCGGCCGTACAGCAGCTCGAAGGGAGAGAACCCAGTGGGCTCCTGCGGTACCTCTTGGTAGACAAACAGGAGGTGGGGGAGATGCCGCTCCCAGTCCTTATGGGACATGGTGAACTGTTTGCAGAAACTATTGGTCTGGGGATGGTAAGGACAGTACAGCGGTCTGATCCCCCACACAACTTCCAAAGTTGTTGGGTAAGCTCGGCCGTGAACTGTGTGCCTTGGTCGGTCAGGATCTCCCGAGGAAATCCTACCCGAGTAAAGATCTGCATCAGGGCTTGAGCAACTGTTTCTGCCTGCACATCTCAGCGCTACAGCCTCCGGATACCGGGTGGCATAGTCGCCAATGGTCAAGATATACTTCTTGCCTCTGGGACTAAGCCATTTCAGGGGCTCCACTAGGTCCACGGCGATATGGCTGAAAGGTTCCCTGACTATGGGTAGGGGCCTCAGAGTGGCCCTGGTCCTGTCTCCCTGCTTCCCTACCTTTTGGCAGACCTCACAAGACAGACAGTAGTCCCAAATGTCCCCCGATACTCCTGCTCAGAAGAAACTCTGGGTTAAGCGATACAGGGTCCGTCAGTTGCCCAAATGCCCAGCAAGGGGAATATCATGCGCATCTCTGGAGGAGATCATGCCGATACTTCCTTGGTACTACCATCTGCCGGTGAGGTATTTTGGCAGCACTCACTCCCGCTCCCCCATGGACCCTGTACAACTTGCCCTGGTCCCACTCATACCTCACATCTCCCAATCCCCCAAGATCACTTCCAGCCCTCCGTCTATAGGGGTCTAAGGTCTGGTCACTGGCTGTTTTTTTTTCAGCAAAATCAGCAGTGGAATCTCAGGTCAGGACAGGGACAAGCTCAGCAGGGGGTGGGTCTTCGACACTTACCTGAGCCTTGCCAGGTGGAGCGGCAACATGCTCTCTAGTCTAGTGACCGGATGAGCTTCAGCAGGGGTCTTGGTGCCAAAAGTGGAGACCAGGACTCCCAGATCATTTCCAAGGAGAAACTCAGCTGGCAGGTTCTGCATTACTCCAATTTCAACGTCCCTTGCCCCGGCCCCCCAGTCCAAATGAACCCTTGCAGTAGGAATCCGGTAGATATGGCCTCCCGCTACCCGTACGGCCACAGACCGCCCGGTCTTGGCCCAGTCTGGTACCAGTTGGGGTTGGACTAGGGTGAATATGGCCCCAGTGTCCCGTAATCCTTGGGCCCAATAGTCGTTAACATGGACAACCTGTTGGTGATGTCAGCGACTGTCCAGGGTGGCAGCCCGGAGAGGGTTAGCCTTGTGAAAGACCCCAATGTCCACATCCTCGGTTGTAAAATTCTTCCATGAAGAGGCGGTGTCACTGGGGTGGTCCTGTAAGGAGTAGGTAGAGGCTCAGTCATAGGGAGTGGTGGGTCGGTTGAAAGTGCCCCGAGGGGGTTAGCTGGTCTGGGACCTTGCCTTGTTGGGTTGCAGCCATAACAGCATAGGCCAGACCGCTTTGGGTCGGAATGTGTGGGTGGTCTGAGGCATTCTCGGGTGACCGGATTGGGCACCACTGGTTGTGGACGAGGTGCAGGGAAAAGGGTGGGCTCAGTTAGCCTCCTGTTGTACAGGTACTCCTCTGCCCAATGACTAGCATCGGCTAAGGTTAGGGGGTGTCTGTCCCGGACCCAATGTCTAACATCCCCCAGAATTCCATTGTAAAACTGCTCCAGTAACAGCAGTTGCAACAGTTCCTCCAGCTTGGTGATCTGACACCCTCGGACCCAGCTGTGGGCAGCGTGTTGTAACTGAAGTCCCCATTCAGTGAAGGTGTCCTGGGGTTTCTTCTTGAGTGCCCGGAACTTTAAGTGGTACGCCTCTGGGGTGGGCCAGTAAGTGTTTCTTAACATAATCGTAATCCAAGCAGTCGGGTACAGTCCTGAACGCATCTTCAGCCCGACCGGTTAGCTTGCTGCTCAAAATGGGAACCCGGTCTTGGGCTGCCACACCATGGATGGTGCACAACCGTTCAAAATCCTAAAGCAAGCTGTCAATTTCCCCATCTGCCTTCGAGAAAGTTTTAAAAGCAGCGTAGGGAATTTTCTTTGGTCCGGTTGCAGTCTGAAGAAGGCGGGAGGTAATCCCCTGCCAGACCGAGTCCTTGGTTGATGACCGGGAGTGACTAAGCCGCAGTTGGGTGGCATCGTCCAGGGCCTTGGAAATCTATTCGGAGGTGGGAGCACTGCCAAACAGAGCCAAATGCCACTCTACCTCTTGTTGTAAATCCGAATGGTATAGGGGTCTCTGTACGGTGCTAAGCGGGCCTGGCATTTCAGGGGCCGGTGAGCTGCTCTGTTCCTCCAACTCCTCCCGTGAAGTGGAGTTCACTTCTGGCAGAGCGGTGTTCACTTCAAGCATAGCAGAGTGTGCATCAGGTGAAGCGGGGTGTGTATCAGCTTGGTCCAGGGCCCTAATCTCGTCCAACAGTTCCTCTCTGGTCTTGGAGCCAGCGATACCTCCCCGAGCGAAAAGCAGGCTTTGAAAAGCTGGCTTCCGGAGGTCCTGTACATCCATTGGGACAAGCAGGGATGTCTCCATGACAAAGATGGGGTCCCGGTTGGTGGTTTGGACTTTCTCTGCAATGAGGAAAGATCCAACCGCTACCAACCAGTTGTGGCGGAACTGTTCCACCTGGGCTTCCTCGTGCGGAGCGATGCTTCTCAGCCAATGGTCCCCTTTTCCTGCAAGTCTTCCAGCACTCTGCCAATGTGGGTATAAGAGCTCAAAGACAATCCTTCCCTGCTATCCCAAACCACGAGTCGGAACTTCGTGTAGGGTGAATGAATGAATGCTTTATTGAACACAGCTCAGTATATACAGCACATCCTACAGTAATCCCTGCCTCCTTCACCCCCACCCCCACCAGACAGTCTGGCACCTGGTTTTCCCCACCCACAACAAAACTGGATAACACAACAGCAATCAGCACACTATGAAATCTAGAATGTCCGCATCTCTGGTCATCTCCTGTACTATGTCTGCAGTCTCTGGTCATCTCCTGTACTATTTCCGCAGTCTCTGATCATCTCCGTCCGCAGTCTCTGGTCATCTCCTGTATTATGTCCGCAGTCTCTGGTCATCTCCTGTACTGTGTCCGCAGTCTCTGGTCATCTCCTGTACTGTGTCCGCAGTCTCTGGTCATCTCCTGTACTGTGTCCGCAGTCTCTGGTCATCTCCTGTACTGTGTCCGCAGTCCTTCTCCGATCATCTCCTGTACTGTGTCTGCAGTCTCTGGTCATCCCCTGTACTGTGTCCGCAGTCTCCGGTCATCTCCTGTACTGTGTCCGCAGTCTCCGGTCATCTCCTGTACTGTGTCCGCAGTCTCTGGTCATCTCCTGTACTGTGTCTGCAGTCTCTGATCATCTCCTGTACTGTGTCTGCAGTCTCTGATCATCTCCTGTACTGTGTCTGCAGTCTCTGATCATCTCCTGTACTATGTCCGCAGTCTCTGGTCATCTCCTGTACTGTGTCCGCAGTCTCCGGTCATCTCCTGTACTGTGTCCGCAGTCTCCGATCATCCCCTGTACTGTGTCCGCAGTCTCCGATCATCCCCTGTACTGTGTCCGCAGTCTCTTGTCATCTCCTGTACTGTGTCCGCAGTCTCTGGTCATCTCCTGTACTGTGTCCGCAGTCTCTGGTCATCTCCTGAACTGTATCCGCAGTCTCTGGTCATCTCCTGTACTGTGTCTGCAGTCCATTGGTTCAGAATATCTATTTCTTGTTTTCCTCCTGTAAATCCTAGGTGTGTCTTAGGGTCAGGTGCGTCTTATGGAGTGAAGAATACGGTATATAACATGAATGAACTTCTTTTGCAGAAATAAAACCTATTTGTGTTTCTCCTCCACAGCCCTTATCTCTGTGTCCAGCTGGCTCCCTTACTTCCCGGACAGACCTGGGGACGTGACACAGGAAGGAGTTCATCTGCTGACCTCACACCCCGGCGTCTGCCCTCCCCACTGCCAGCACATCACTACCACTTGGCTCCCAACTGTCCCGGATTTCGAGGGACTGTCCCTCTTGTCCCTCCTTCCTCCTCATTTGTCCCTCATTTTGGTCTGATCTATAGAATCGTATATAAAATGCACCATTTATCTATCAGAAAGTGTTTTTTACGGTGATAAACCTTTCATCCAGTTTCTAAATTGCTGCATTCCTAAATTTCAAAGCCAATAAAAAGGAATAGTAATGGTAAAAAAAAGCACTTGTGGGTTTAACCAATCATTTTTTTGTATAATTCTCTTTAAACCCCTCCGCCTCCAGAGGTTCCCCTCCCCCTTCCTGACCAGGCCATTTTTTGTGATATGGCGCTGCGTTACTTTAACTTTCAATTGCGCGGTCATGCAACGCTGCACCCAAATTAAATTTACGTCCTTTTCTCTCACAAATAGAGATTTCTTTTGGCGGTATTTGATACCCTCTGCATTTTTATTTTTTGCGCTATAAACAAAGAAGGCCGACAATTTGAAAATAAACCCAGTATTTTTTGTTTTTTTGCTATTAAACACGTCCTGTAAAAAAAATTAAAACAATCAAATTTCGTCATTAATTTAGGCCAAAATGTCTCCCGCTCCGTGTCTTCGCTGAAAAAAAATCCGTGTAAATGAATTGGTTTACGTGGAAGTTATAGCGTTTACAAATGGCGGGATATATACTGGGATTTTTTTTTAATATACTAGTAATGGCGGCGGTCATTGACGTATAGCGGGACTGCGGCGGGCATTCTGACCCTGGGGGGGGGGGGGGGGGGACTGACTTGGTGTCACTGACATCAGGTGATACCAATACAGTGATCAGTGCAAAAAAAAGCCCTGACACTGTACTAATGGCACTGGGCAGGAAGGGGTTAACATGAGAGGCCATCAAAGGGTTAACTGTGTGCTGTGTGTTGGCAGACAAGACAGAGAGATACAAAGCAGCATGTCTTTGCTGGCAAGGGAGAGACTTGTGTTTACATACAGACCTCTCCCCTGTCACTGTCCCTTGGTGATCACCGGGTGCCAGCGGGGAATCTCCAGCCAGGACCTGGTGATCGACAGCTGTAGAAGCCAATAGCGGCTTGGGTAGCAATCATATATGTACTGTGTGTGTGTGTGTGTATATGTGTATATATATGTATGTATGTGATTTTGCGCAGCCCTGTAGCAGTGTTTTTACTATGGCGCAGTCGGGAAGTGGTTAAGGGGGCGTGGCAGGGGGTGTGTCATACACTTACATATTTTTGGTAGTAGGCGTCCCTCGTTGTCATCTCAGAATGTTGGGAGGTATGTTACCCGCCACCTCTTCAGGCGCACGTTTTTTCACTGTAATCTGTAAATACTGTTCTCACTAAATACATCTTGCAGAAATTGTTCATTTGGCAGCAGGGTGTGCAGGAGCTGAGCGATCAGATAACAGCCTACGAGGATAGAGCTGTGGTATTGGAAACAGGTGAAGTGTGCTCTGGGTTCTGTAAAGCTCACCATGCACTATACAATCTGATTGTACAATCTGCTTTAGATGCACCATCAACTATGTATTGCAAGGGCCTGCCTGCTTCCAGCCTACAACTCCCAGAATGCTTTGAGTTAGGCCACGGCAATGTGTAAGTGCTGTATGCTGCCTCCTTGTGGGCAGATGAAGTCCTGCATGCTCAGTAACAATGCACAGCGTTACACTATACATGAAACAATGACACGGGGCCCCAAACATGAATACCAGACATTATATACCAGATCGCTTACAGTTTTTTTTTTTTTTTTTTGGCATGAACTCCCCTTCCTAAATCCATAGCAGACTCTCAATTCAAACATGAAGCCTGGTGGCCACACCATACTAGACTGCATGTCATCCACATGGGGGGGAGGGGGGGACCCCATGTTGATGAAGACACGGAACTCTTCTCTGGATCAGGGTTGTTGGGGGGTCATTGGAATCTAGAAGACTCCAGTTAGATTAGGAAGCCCCCAGATATCTGCCCCCATGTGGACCAGTAAAGGGTAAATAGTACATAGGACTCATTCACCCAAACAAAGGCAGTTGTAAGTAAAACACACACATTTGTGAAAAGCCTTTTATTTACAGAAAATCCATCCAGCATTAACCACTTACCTGCCGCCCAATAGGAGATGTACAGCTACAGGGCGGCTTCCCTGCGCAAAACCGCGTAAATATACGTAATTTGGTATTACTGGGTATGGGGCGCCCTACCCACGCCTCTACTGGCTGCTGAGGCTGTCAATCACCGGGTCATGGCCTGGCAATTCTGCCGGGACTCGGCGATCGTCAGCAAAGCTGAGAGGGGAGAGGTCTGTATGTAAACAACACAGGGTCTCTCCTGTCAGCAAGGACATGCTGCTTTTGTATCTCATTGCACAGCATGTCTCCAACACACAGCACACAGGTAACCCCTTCCTGCCCAGAGCCATTAGTACAGTGTCAGGGGCTTTTTATTACCACCTATCACTGTATTGGTGTCACTGGGGATGTCAGTGGCAGTTAGTCAGTCCCCCCCAGTGTCAGAATGCCCTCCGCTGTCCCGCTACAAGTCGCTCATCACCGCCATTACTAGTATACAAAATAATTTAAATAAAAATCCCCGTCTTTATACCGCCATTTGTCAACCCTATAACTTTCCCGTAAACCAATTAAATTTACACGTATTGGGATTTTTTTTCAGCAAAGACATGGAGCGGGAGACATTTTGGCCGAAATTTATGAAGACATTTGATTTTTACATTTTTTTTTTTTTTATTTGTAGCAAAAAGTCAAACATATTGTTTTTTTTTTCCCTCAAAATTGTCGATCTTTTTTTTGTTTATAGCACAAAAAATAAAAAACTGCAGAAGTGATCGAACACCACCGAGAGAAATCTCTATTTGTGGGGGAAAAAAAGCACACCAATTAATTTGGGTGCAGCATTGCATGACTGCGCAAATGTCGGTTAATGTAACACAGCGCCATATCAAAAAAATGGCCTGGTCAGGAAGGGGGCGAGGGGGGGGAGGGGGGGATCCTCTGGACGGGGAGGAGTTAATCACAATTAGATCTTCACAAAGAAAACCCGTTGATATGCCAACCCACCTGCTCGCTCCACACATGACAGACAGGAGTGGGGCTGACAGCTGGAACATGAACACTGCATGGTTTTCACTACTAAAGTACCGCATGACTTGATCCAATAACTCGGGATTTTAGGAGTTTTTTTGATGGTTTTTTTTAAATTTATGCGTATTCTACCACATACTCGGGGGGGGGGGGGTAAGATACCACTTAGTGAATTGTGCCCAGTGAGCCTCTCACCGGGCCCCCTACTGACCCCGGGCCCTCGGGCAATGCCTGAATGGTCAGCCCCCCCCCTGGTAGATACCTTGTTGCACCATTCAGCTTATATTAAACGTATTGTTTTTATTTTGTTATTCTGTGTCATTCTCTTCATTCTTTTCATGTAGGACTTTTGCCCATCCTATCCTCCACGGTGTCATCAGATAAAGTCTACATACCGGCTGGATCAGACATCACTGATTGTCATATGAAGTGTCCTGACTCTCCTGGTGTCCTGGATGCTGTACAGAGAATGTGGAGGGAAAAGAGATCGTGTACTTAGGATGTTCTGTGACTATCTGGGAATGTATAAAAAGATCTACAGGGACTCCAGACTTCACCTGGACCCACAGAGGGGCTGCTGGAAGCTGACCCAGGCTGGGAAGGAAGACTCCTGTGTATATATTACAGAGAAGTTTGGTGACAGGAGACTTTCCTCTATAGACGTCCATGTAGGTAAGAGTCCATATACATCATGACCCTTCTCTCCACACTGCATTGTTCTCTATGGGGGAAGATGCACTAATACACTCATTTATAGAGACCAGTAACACCGGGGACTGTCCAGTGTAGGGTTCATCTCAGAGTACTGGGTAGGGGTTGTCCCAGACATCCTGAGGGCGGGGCCACTGTTACAAATCATGGGGCCCTATACAGCCTTACAAAAAAATGGCCGCTGCCCCAGTCTATAACTGGCCTTCACAGCGAGGAGCACATGGAAGGGCGACGCATGTCAGACAACAAAGAGAAAAGTTCCCGGCTCAACTTACCAACCAGCCTGCAAACAAACCCAATTAACCCGACAGTACGCTGTAAACACAGGGGTGTGCTAACTAAACCCCCATTTTTACTGCATACTGTTAGACGAGTTAATTGGGTTTGTTTGCAGGCTGGTTGGTAAGTTAAGCTGGGAACTTTTCTCTTTTGTTGTTTGCCCTGTACAGCCTACCTGTCAGGGCAGGAGCTGTGGAACGGACAGGCAGGCCTAGAGGCAGGGTCACGCACTGACTGACAACAACCACCACCCACAGACCGGAGTCCCTCAGGGCGCGGAGTCTAAGTCCCAGGCTGCCCTTCACCGGGGCCCCTGATGGTGGGGATGGACTTGACGCAGCCAGGAACCAGGTCGCGGCCCTCGAGACACCCCAGCTGCGGTAATGGCCGCCGCCAATGGCGTGTAGCTAGTAGGAACCAGATCAGACAAAGCATAGTCGGGCAGGCCGGGTCGATAACAATGGGACAAATGGTACAGAACAGTAGACAAGAATAACAGATCACAGCCGGGTTCAGCAACGGGAGGTCAGATCAATGGAAAACACAGAGAATGGTCTAGTCAAAAGCCGAGTCAGTTTCCAGGAGAGTATAAACAGAGCTATAGCAACACTAACACACAAGACATGAATGCAGAGAGCACTTGCAGACAGCAGGCTTAAATGTGATGAACCACACCCTTCTGAGGAGGAGCCACAGAAGCCTGAAGGCATAAAGGTTCCCACCATGCTTTGCAGGAACCCAAGATGGACGCCAGCACATGGGATGCACAAGCTCTGAGGAAATGTAGGACCTTGACACTACCTGACAGGGGACCCCCATCCCCCACCTGACCCAACCACCCCTTCCATCAGTCTGCAGTCAGCAAATGGAGAAGGAGATGCTGTGGACTGCGTGCCATGGATAAATGTGGGTGTGGCAAAATTGAGCAGTGGGAGGGGTTTAAAACTTGAACAGAGCATGGGAGTCAAAAGTATGTCACATCCAGAGTGCGGGAATCATGTATGTATATAGTTTACAGAATGCAGGGTGTGAGGAGTATGTAATGTGCAGAGTGCAGGTTTCCACACAAACAGTTCACTGAACACACGAACGATACTGAGCCCTGACAGTGCATTGTGATTGGCCAAACAATGTGACTGCAGGTGGGCTGAATGTTCGTGTCGAAATGAAGATCGACTCGAACATTGACCATTTGTGTGTTCACTGAAAAGGACACACGTCTCCTGTCAACGATACAGATGCCCTGGGACATTCCCTTCGTTAAAGGGGGCTTCTGGATTCTGATAAGCACCTTGCCCACAGACCCCCACAACTACAGCCCAGGGTTATGGGGAAGAAGCCCTTGTCCCCATCAACATGGGGACAAGGTGCTTTGGGGGGGGGGCCCCCCTACCCTAAAGCACCCCCCCATGTTGAGGGCACATAGCCTGGTATGGTTTAGGAGGGGGGAATGCTTGCTTATTCTCCCCCCTTTCCTGACCTGCTGGGCTACATACTGAATAAGGGCCCTCATGCCATTTTTGTTTCTTAAATTTTGTGGGGTTCCGCTCAAAATCCATACCAGACCCAAAGGGCTTGGTATGGATGGGAAGGGGAACCGCACGTTTTTTTTTAAAAAAAAAATTTTTGCCGACAATTCTTTTGACATTCAGCTGTCAGAGGGGAACCCCACTGAACCCCATTCCCTTTCAGAATTTTCCCCGTGTACGGCCGGCTTAAGTATGCTTAGCACCACATAGTGGCCAAATATGTTATTTTATTTGAAATCAATTAAAAATCATTCGACCGACATAGGAAATGGCCTAATAACATATGGGGGGGGGGGGGGGGGTCGCCCCTGCTGAACTAATGTGCAGACACTTTCACTGGGCAAATCGCTCTTTCATAAATACTCCCCAAGAAATGCGTATTACAATAAGGATATAATCCTCCTGCGCTGCCACAAATAAATGATAATCTGCTGCAAGCCCCTCAATGTGTTCCCACATCAATAAAACATAAAATGTGCTCGTCTCACAGATCGGGGTAACCGGGTGTTTATTATAGGCTGGCCGGGTGTTTATTGCTACTTGATTTTGGTTTATTTTTCATACATGTCTCACATATCATCAGTTTTTGTTTTTTTATTTACTATTGACTTTGTTTCACAGATTTGTTCTATGACACATTGGGTTTGATGCTCAGGGGGGTGTTTATTTATTTTTAGTGTATTTTCTTGGGTCACTAGGGGGCAGTGCAGCACTATTCTTGGGAAGATATGCTAATTGGCACTGAGCATGAGCACTCCTCCGGATGTCAGATGAGGATGAAAGCGGAAGGTAGAAAGTGCGAACACTTGCAGGAACAGATCACTTATAGGCCTCATGTACGCGGGGCGTTGTAAAAACACCGGCAGCATTAGCGTTTAGCCGCGTTTTTAGCGCATTTATTAGCTGTGATGGAAGCGTAGGCGGGACAGAACGCACACGGAGGATGATAAACACACAAAGTTTTATTGAAATAGGTAAGGCACTCAATCAGGGTAACAAGGGTAGCATCCGGGTACCTAAACAGGGGGGGAGGAGAGGGAAGAGTCCAAACAGTGATAATCCAGCCCACGGTAGGGCAGTTCAGGTAGCGATAATCCGAGCACTTAGTGGGGCAGTCCAGATAGCTACAATAATCCGAGCACACAATAGGAGCAGTTCAAGCAAACAATACCCTGGGTATTCAATAATTCAGTCCAGGTGATAATAATCCGGGTACACAACAGGGGCAGTTCAAACAAGCAATAGTCCGGGTATTCAATGGGGGCAGCCCAAGCACGGGACATAGGGGTGCTCAACAGGACAGTCTGGGCAAGGATAATATGGGCATTCAGTGGGGCAGTCCAGGCAAGGGTGATATGGAAACACATTAAGGCAGTCCAGGAAAAGGGGGCGCACAAAAGGGACAGTTCCACACTCCGCCACATGAGGCTTATAGGGGCACTCACGCCAGGTTGTTTCCAGGGGCAACCAGCGGACAGTGTGCAGGAACGCTCACGGTTTCAGGGACGGCAGCCGTCAGCAGACAGGGACCCTCACAGCGGTCAGCTTTCCAGGGACAGCAGCGATCAGCAGACAGGGACCCTCAGAGCTTTCCAGGGACAGCAGCGATCAGCAGACAGGGACCCTCACAGCGTCAGCTTTCCAAGGACAGCAGCGATCAGCAGACAGGGACCCTCAGAGCGATCAGCTTTCCAGGGACAGCAGCAGCCTACAGTGATCAGCAGACAGGGACCCTCAGAGCGATCAGCTTTCCAGGGACAGCAGCAATCAGCAGACAGGGACCCTCATAGCGATCAGCTTTCCAGGGACAGCAGCGATCAGCAGACAGGGACCCTCACAGCGATCAGCTTTCCAGGGACAGTAGCGATCAGCAGACAGGGACCCTCACAGCGATCAGCTTTCCAGGGACAGCAGCGAACAGCAGACAGGGACCCTCACAGCGATCAGATTTCCAGGGACAACAGTGATCAGCAGACAGGGACCCTCACAGCAGTCAGCTTTCCAGGGATAGCAGCAGGCCTACAAGGACTCAGCGGGGGGTCCTGGCTGTGGGGTCTGGCCTCAGCTCAGACCCCACACAGCGCCTCCCTCAAGAGCAGGGGACCAATAGGGAAGCCGGGTCCTGCT